CCAAGCTAAAATTCAAATTTCTCGAGAACTAAAGCTCGTAGAGAGCTGAGAATTTACGTTTGTACTTCTGCAGGTTTGTAGTACACAGCTACCTATGTGGGAACTGCACAACACCACTTTGGCAAATGAACGAAAATTTCCGAATTCTTGATTTCTAACAGAGGAAAAAATACGGCAAGGGCGTATATAGATGTTTTATGTGGATACAGTTTACGTGAGCAAGTAAGAATTTTTGTAGGATTTTTTCGATTTTCGGGCAGTTTAGTCTTTTTAGTTTTGGCTCGAATCTCGAGGTGGATCAGAGCTGTTGCTAAAGCAAGATAGCCATCTTGTAGAGCTTGCTTTGCCCTATCGAATGGTACTTTGCAACCTATTTAGAAGTGAGAAGTGCATGACTTATTGCGGTTGAATTCAAAACGGGCACTAAATTCCGGACAACCTAATATATATCATATTAAAGCTCTTGATTTCTACTTTTACCCTGGCAACCTCCCAAAATCATATTTTTTGACTTGAACGAGAAATCCGGCAAAAACATTGTTTTGGAAATTTTCTTGTTTTCCCCTAATTTAACTCTTTTCACACAATTTTTTCTTGCATTCTATAGATTTTGCTTTTGTTTAAAATGCAGACAACAAGACAACAACCCCATGCTTATCTCTTCGATGAAAGCGGATTTTTTTGTGAAAGATCGCAAAAAGTGCGTTTTTATTTACCTTGACCCGTTTCACTGCTTTCATAATTTCTTTCCAGCTTAGACGATTATTGCTCAGAATAATGAGCGCAACAATTTAGACAACGTCCCAGTGAGCGGGAACCACAATGAGGGTGTAGAAATTTAAAAGACGCACCAAAAACTAGATAAGCTTTGACGTTGCGACTTGGTGAGAACAAAACTTAGCGTTTTTGAAACAAATTCTTTTCTTGTTTATCTTCTTCTAATGAGGGAAAAATTAGCTTTTCCTCGTTTTCCCCAGTGTTGTGGATTACGTGGTCCTGGAGCGAAAACCTGCACTGCCGCCAGATAAAAGATTTCGAACTTATTGCAGCATTTTTGTCCGATTTTCAAGAATTTCTTTTGCTTTTACTAACTTTTTTACATCTTTTTTTCTTCCCTGATCTTATATGAACAACCTTAACTTTTTATGAGGGGCAAATAATCAAACAGCCTTCAATTTTGAGGCCTTGTCTCTATCGAAGGGATGGCCAGCACTGTGGTTTTACTAAGATATAATTCCTCTCCTTCTCTTTATCGTCCACCCCTCACCGATTTTGAATATGGGAGGATCGATTTTTGACCTTGTGTTTTGAACTGTTACACACATTCAAAAATTTTATTTTAAAATGGGTGGTGCGACTCTCAACTACCTCTTTTACGGAGTTGCGGTTGCTTTTCCCCTCAACCCTCAAAATGCAGTTGCTTTTTTCTCTCGACAACTGCTTTTTTAGCCTTCAACCTTTTCTTGAATGACAACAGTTGCACTTTAGCATCACTGCAGTAGATTTCATTATTTCACTCTGATATAACTGAGCAAACATGATTCCAGCATCATTAAAACTCCAGAACATTTTTATGAATGATTTTCACAATTTATACACGGCAAATTTTATGAAGAGAAACTCTATATAAATATCCTATTTTTCTCTCCAAAACAAGCATGTAAAGCCAGATACCGAGGAGAGGAAAAACTGAGTACGCAGAGCAGAGCATTACTTTGGAAAACTTACCCGTGTTTCTTCTATGGTGTTGCAAAAAGCCTAATTCGAAAAGAAAACGGTAAGCAAGCCTTGTTTTGGGGAAGAGAAAGTCCCGTTCGATGAGTACGAAAAAGTTTGCAAGATTCTCGTGTTAGAGATAACATTCCCCTTACCTACAATTCTTAAGAATCATGAACTTGTTTCAAAAGCAAATGTGCTTCAAGATTACCATTTTATCTCTGGTCGTTTAGGCAAGTAAGGGAAGGGTTCTAAGGGAAGGATAATTATGAGCACAAGGGATTTATCAGATCATTGAGAAAATTTGTCGCCGAATTTCTCGCTGTTTCAATGAATGTATAGAAAACTTGAATTGGAGCAAGTATGCTGCAAAAAGCTAAGTTTTTTTTCGGAAAACTGAGCATACTTGCAAGCTTTATCTTGACGGAGAAGAAAGATGACTGCCTCATAAACAAAACGATTTCATTGAACTCATCCTTTTTTAGCTTGAATGTCCTCTTTTCTTTGAACCTCGGCATTACAATGATGCAGTGGCGTATCCAGGATTTCCGCTCGGGGGGGGGGGGCGACAAAAATTTTTCTCGAATGAAGGTGCGTGGCGTTAACCACGCACTCCGAAAAAGTTTTAGGGGTACTTCCCAAAATTTTTGCGGATCCGCAACCCCTAAAATCTGGAAAAAGGGGGCGTGGCGTCAGCCACGCCCCCGAAAAAAAATTTTTGCAAGGCTAATTTGAATTTCTAAAAATTTTCAAAAATTAACTTAATTATTTACAAGTATTAAAAAGTCATTTGCACATTTTTATAACCCATATAAGTAACTTTCAACCCGCCACCCCCCTCGGTACGCCACTGCAATGATGTAGTTCTATTTGTTAATTGTGCCAGCACGAGGTTTCGGCGAAGCTTTATCAGTAGAGCGGCCTAACGTTTGGAGCAATCCTTGTCTTCAGAGGCCTGAAGTGGCGCGCGATTAATGATCTTATGTTTGTCCCACCAAACGCCTTGTCAACCCTGGCCAGTTTTTCGATCCTCCCTATGGATTCACTAGTGAAAATCAAATGGGATGACGAACTGACCGTGGCTTTACCGCTATCGCACCGATGGTGGTGTGCGACCGCGTTCTCCGAATTAGTAGTGCAAATTATCCATACAAGTCAATCTATTGCACTACTCTGTCACAGCTCACATAACGGGATGAATGGTAGAAATTCATTTGTAATGGCTAAACACTCATTTCTGTTATTCATTTGCGGGTTTCTATGAGAGATCCAGAAGGCTTCGAGAGCTTTTCGTGCAGAGATATCCGGTTCGTAAGCCAAAATAGAGCATTTGATTAGATAGTCATCGTCACCGTGATCGTTGTGCTTGTGCCTTCCGAGAGGTGACGTCAGACTACCTTTTCTCTTACTGCTAGATGTTCCTTCATTCTCACACCAAGTGCTCTTCCGGTTTCTCCAATGTAGGTGGCGCCGCATGTCAAGCAATCATTCTGATGTACCACACCTGTTTTATCGAAAAACTGGCCAGAGTTGACAAGGCGTTTGGTGGGACAAACATAAGATCATTAATCGCGCGCCACTTTAGGCCTCTGAAGACGAGGATTGCTCGAAACGTTAGGCCGCTCTACTAATAAAGCTTCGCCGAAACCTCATCCTTTTTTATTTGATTTTTCAAAATTTTTATTTTTACTTTGGGTGTCCCAAAATAAAATAAATACAATCAAGCGATTCAAACAAAAGCTAAGTAAAATTAAACCAAAACATAAATAAATATGGCAGAAGTTTTGCCACCTTTGAAATTTCTCGATCTAGAGTGTAGGCGAGCTCACGGTGCCAAGCTAGCTGTAACCCACGTAAAGATAATTCCGTTTTGAAGGTGAGCAAAATTTATCGAGATGCAAGAGATGTCTGAGGAACTTGATTACAAAGAACCCATAAAAAGCAACACAAAAATTGAGCAGCTACCGCAGCGGTCAGCATTCGTGAATACGGTAGTAAAGATCAGTGAAATAGATAAAAGAAACAGCATAATACATAAACAACAACATAACAGCCGTAAAAGCCTGAAATAAAAAGATTAATTATTGGAGTAGATTAACGATAGAAAGTTAAAAAAAATAAACTCCAGCACAACTGAGGAGTCTTCAATAACCTCGAACAAAAAGTCTATATGTGGTTATTCACTCTTACACCGTTGTTAATTTAGAATTCCCACACATCACTCTATGAAAGGGATCGCTGGAAAATCTGAATAAACAACCTCGCAAGAAATTGTGGAAAATCTGGGTGAACAACCTCACAATTAACGGAGATAATTGCCACAATTCAGAATTCCTCCTAAATCAAGCTTTTCTAGTCCTCTCTCAAAAGAATTACTGTTTTTGACGATAATAGTATAGCAGGCAAACGTCGAAACCAGCGTGCGCAACGATAGAAAAAATAGTTGAAAAATTCGGGGTTTTGTACCTATTCAACCTAGCATAGTAGAGATTCATACGTTCGTCAATGGTGGTCCGTGACCCGCACTCGGCAAAGTCTCAGGCTCCGACGAAGGCGAGTTGGCCGAAACGTCAGCCGAAACAAAAGTTGTAACAATCTTGGTGGAGGCTAAACATCTCGAAACAAACATATCGTAATGCCAAGATTCACTGAAAGTCGAACGTGGAGAATAGTAGAGATTGATCCTCCATGCCTGCAGCTAGTTGGTCTAAAAACCCAAAACTGCTGGCACTGAAATCAATGGCCCGTAGTAAAGCTTGATCAGTTGAGGTGAACTCAACTCAACCATCAGTTCACCGCATGTGAGGTGAACTGATGACCGCCCACCCTACCATGCTATGAGAATGGCGAGTGAACTGATAGTTGACGATCTGTCCACCTGGTGCAGTCAACTCTTCCACATCCGTTCAAGTTCAAGTCACCTCAACGTGAACTGATGTTAAAGTGATCCATATAGTGTGTAGAAGAGGAGACGCAGACAAGACTCCCGTAAGTTGCTCCTGAGTAACTTACGATACACATCAGTTAGGCAAAAAATGCAGACAAAATTGGCGCAAAACTGCACACTTTTCCTCGGCGCATTTTTGAATTTTATCTCCGGGGAGGGTAAATATGACGAGTTGGGATAACCATGTTTCAGTTTGTATTCGAGAGGGAAAACATATGTACTAGGTTGGTGCAAAAGTAATGGCCGATTTTGCAAGCCTTTTTCAAGCCAATTTTTTTCCATCATAATTTCTCCTTGGGACAGATATAGCATACCATTGAGAAGCTGCTTTCATGCTCTATCTAATGCTTGTTGAAGCGGGCTTTGACTGCGCAACAAGCCTTTCGTTAGTAGTAGTGGTTGCCGAAGTTGATAGGGCGCTGGATTCGGATGAAACAGCCATCGACACATCCAATGACATCTAAACAAAGCATTTTATAAAAGTGTTGAAGAATTTCGTGAAGTTCTTACTTGTGAATCTCGAGATCTAGCGAATTCTTGAGACCTTCGCAAGCACCAGCGCTCGTCCGACGGCCAGAAGCGGAGGAAGCGGGCCTCTATTGTTGGATGGTTGAGAGCATCCATTACCCGGGTGACGACGTCACTCACAGCCTTCTGACACACCCCAAAACTCAGCTATAATAGTTTGATGACTGTTGGTGGCCAGGTAGCGGAGTGTGATGAGGACCCGAAGCGAACAGAGAGTACCTATAGTGCACCTTCATGAAAAGATGTCCAAACCTGGTCCTCTTTGCTGATCTCCCAAGGCTCCAGCCCTGCATCCGGCAGCAGCGGTTCGAGCATCCTCACGATCTTTTTAACATCTTCTCTGCGAAACCTATACTTCGAGTAGAAGATGCGATCGTTCTGCTGGAACACAGAGGAAGGATGGAGGCGTTCATAACGGACGTTCCTCTGGCGCTGCTGACGGACGTTGAAGAAGAGCGAAGCCATCTTAACCAATTATTCAGATATTGAGTTAATTTCAAATTTAGAAATTGACGACCACGGCAATAAACTTGTTCGAACATCTCTGTAGTGTGTGCTTGCAGTAAGATCAAGTGTTGAAACCCCTAAACCCAGGGCAAAATTATTTGTAGCACGCAGGACTCGAACCTGACACGCACGGCACAACAAGTACCGCTCTTCACCACTCTTCCATTTGGTTTAGCATCCAAGTCTTGCTTGGCGGCTACTTCAACGTTAAATAAGGGCATACCCGTGCATAGTTCGATGGTACGAGTAAGCACATTCATATGCTTACTCACATAACACCTACGCAGGTTTATACAATCACTACAAAACATTATAAAAAATTAAGAAAAATGAGTGAAAGAAAAGGAAGAAACAGCAGATAAAGGCGCGGAAGAAAATCAGGCGCCATGTGTGGATCTTCGACGGAAGTGCCGGTCACTGCCGCAGAAAAATCAAATATGCCGATAAAAATCAAATGTTTTTGCCTGTCGCAAAAACGCTTGCGCTGCCCCGGAACTGAAATTCCGACCTATCGAACACCATGTGCCAACCTCTTCGCCACTCCACCAAAGGACTCGGTTTTGTTCCGTCCATGACGGCTATTGGAGTCAGAAAACCAAGTCAGCGATACTTCTGACTCTCAATGATTCCAATCCAGTAATTCTAAGCCGGCCTTTATAGTCTGGTGATGTTCTTCCAGAAGTATTTTGACTACGAGATAGAATTATTTTTGTGAAAACGTTGAACTTTCTCAATTTTCAGGCTTTGCTTCACACATACTGAGTTCCACACTTGAGAGGAGTATTCCAGGTGAGGAACCACATAAGCTTTGTATAATCTTGTTGAAATTACCTGGTTAGTATTATGGATGTTAAGAAAAGATAATGAATAATGATGAGCAGGCTTTCATTATTGCGTAGTTGATTGCTCCGTAAAATCAAGTTTTGAAACAACAAAAACACCCCAATTTCTTACTACGAAACATGGAATCAACTCTATTCTAACTTCGTAACTCAGACCAAAACCTTTCCTAAATGCAAAAAGGAGCATTTATCAGGACTAAAGATAGCCATTGCTTAAGGCCCAGACATCCAATGCATTGATAGAAGAATGTAATCTTTCATGAACGCAACAATGGCTCTGTTCATCATGAAAAAGCATACATCTTGATAAATCAGCATAGAATTAAAATTCGATTCCTTTAAAACTCAGTAGGTCATGAAGATCAAAGGTGATATTCAGGATAAGATTTTAAAAAACTCGTTTTTGAGAACAAACATGTTGCAATATTCATATCTTGCTCTGCAATAGAATGACAAAGCCTCTCTGTATCTTTTAACTAGGGTTGTAGAGCAAACTTTGTACTATCACATGATCCTAGTTGCATTTGGAAGAATTTGTTATATTTACGAAAACGAAAACGTATTTGCGAAGAATATTCGACAAAAACCTTATGTTCAAAATCGATTGTGAGGCTCCAGGCATGCAGGACCCTTACAGACAAGAACATCTCTTCATCTATGAGATATGTAGAAAAGTGTCTATTAAGACTTTGTGGAGATGGTTTTGAAAACGGCCCAATGACAGATTCAGAATCTCGGCGAAATTAGATAGCTCAAACCACCGGTTTTCGATATGCTGCCCTCCAAGCTTTTGAAAGGGTCAAAGCACCCGCTGGAATTAATCAAATCTCCATGCTTAAGATTGTTAACGAACTTGTTCTACATCAGTGCGCAGTCTGCAAGCAAGATAAAATGTTCCTAAACAGAAATCGCTGGATTGTCAAAGTTGTGCCTGCGTACAAAGTACACTCAGCTGATAAGAGTATTCAAAATTATTACGAAAGACAAAAAACCGACTGATTTGTCTATCGCAATGCGATAATTATGGTTGGCGAAAACAGGTGCATGTTTGGTTTGTTGTCAAGCCAATGTTGTTTCCTACACCCAAGGCACACGCGCCAGTATTTTGGCGCGCCCTGTACACTTCTGTTTCAGCAAGGGTTTGTCAATTTACTGCGTTGTATCGAGGATTACATATCTGGCATATTTTCAATATGAAATTTGAAGCAGATAATATATTGCTCAGCTGCAACAAGCACAGCTGAAGAAGAAATAAGGTAGTCTTCATCGCTTGTATTCTCAATGAAAATTTTATTTCTAAAAAATTCGGACCAAACTTTGCATACATACGCTACAGGGGGGCGGGTGTAGAATACAGTTTTTCAGTTAATTTCTCACATAACTTGAGCTACGCGGCTGGGAGATGGCTCAGGGAGTGAGGTAAGGTATGCTGATTTCAAATATAGAAAATAGGGACAAAAGATTCGACGTCTTCGATATTCTCTCTGCGTGCATGCGCCAAACGTATTTTACTTCAGGTTGAGGCTACTGAATGCGTGCAGACCTTTTATAATGACTTGTGGAGGCCAGCCGCTTACCACATCTGTGCAATTTCCCCAGAATACTTTAGTACTAATTAACGTCCTTAAGCTCATAATCGTTCATGCTTAAGGATACTGTTCTCCCCACGCTTCAATGGAAAATTACCGTACCTTCTAAAAGCGGATGCGGCGAGAGACCCAAAGGCAGCTAAGGAAGAAAGCCGCGACGACCTTGACGCTCGGATCAAACTCCCCTGTACCAAACCCTTCACTACCGGAAAAGTTATTATGGCTAATCTCGTTAGCTTCACAATGCAGCATCAAATTTGATTGTACTGTATAACTATGCTCAATTGTAGGAACTTGATGGTGTATACATTGGAAAATAAGATCCAAAAATGCTGGTTTTTTCAAAATTCATGTTGGAAACTAAGCGCCGAAAAGTAGTAGCAACAATGTAGCGGTCGTGCTGACATGCTGATTTTTATCCTTTTTCTGGTTTCCATAATCGCTCAATCCATCTTTAGCTGGAAGCTTTCCGAACATCTATTTACTATTGCATAAAAAAGTAAATTCGTTTTAACCCAATATTTAGCAGTTGAACAACTAAAGTTGTTGCAGTATTCCAACCACAAGAACTACCCCCCGTAATGTCAAAGAAGCGAATTTGCAGCGTTTAAAGTATATGCCCTACAGCAATTTTCGGCATTATTACAGTCTCCCCTTTCACTTAAACGTGGCAATTCTATCATCAGTAACACTGTGTGCAGTTTCGTAAGATAAAAATAACTGAGTTTGCCAAAAGCAGTTAGTTTATTCTAATGCAGATCTCTTCTCGGATCACTTTCGGGTGTCTGATTGCGTGTTGCCAAAATCTGCAGTAGATGAATGAAGGGAAGCTGATGAATTTATGGTTAAGATAATTCTTTGCAAACATGCTCACTTACATCGGCCGATAGCCGTTGAAAACGAATAAGCAGTGACTTATTTCAAGAAAAAAGCTTTTTTTCGGATTTTACTTTTGATGAGATTCATGTACGCAAAATGACACAAACAAATAAGCGATTGTTATTATAGAAAATGAAAGATACCCGGCAAAGCTTTACAGCATCATAAAAGCAACTACAATTGCCTTAGGTATAATTTATCAGTTTAAATGTAATATCTGTCACTAGCATGCAGGTTACTCACTCATCAATCACCACGCGGAAATAGAATAAAAAGCATTTTATGCATGTACTAGCTTGCTTACCCGGCTCCGCTCGGGCCTGTTAAAACACTGTAACAAAGGTCCCATCCCTATCCCTGCACAGCCTTTCCCTGTGCCCACTTCTACACTTCATTTCCCGTTCCCTGTGTTGTTTTCGAAATCAGCATGCCCACTTACCCCCCTGCGCCAACTCCCAGCCCTGCAGCTCAAACTTTGCAAAAATCGATAAAATCGATAAAAGCAATGGACAATTTTGAAAACTCATATTGTATTCGTAATCAGCATGCTCGATTACCCACCTGTGCCAACTCTCAGCCCCGTAGCTCAAACTTTGCAAAAAATCGACAAAATCAATAAAAGTAGCATATCCAAAAACTAATATTGTTTTCGTAATCAACATGCTCCTATTACCCCCTGTGCCAACTCCCAGCCCCGTAGCTCAAACTTTGCAAAAAAATCGATAAAATCGATAAAAGTAATGGATGTTTCTAAAAACTAATATTGTTTTCGTAATCAGCATGCTCGATTACCCCCCTGTGCCAACCCCCAGCCCCGTAGCTCAAACTTTGCAAAAAAATCGATAAAATCGATAAAGGTAATCGATAATTCTCAAAACTAATATGTATTCGGAATTGCCATGCCCACTCTGCAGAAAATCGATAAAAATCGATAAAATCGATATCGATCGATACGAAAAGTGGCCTATGACAACCGCCGGGACCCGAAGTGTATGTGTGCCAAGTTTGGTCCGGATCGGTTCAGAAATGGAATTTTCTATTCGGTACATGCGTACACACAGACATACATACATACAGACAGACAGACAGACAGACAGACAGACAAACAGACATTCAGCTTCCTATATAAAGTTCGAAAAAGTGCAACAGAAGCTCACTTCCAGTGCTTTTATACAGCTACAACTCCTTCAAGCAAGCTCCGCCCACTTTCTGCTTTATACCACGATAAATTGAGAAAATGAGCGAAAATAAGAAAAAATAAGCAAAAATTGCGCTTTCCTAGCTTAATTCTCCTTACTTATGATATCAATCCTATGCACGCTCCAGAGGCCGCCGGGAAACTGTTACGCGCGAAACGGTAATAAAATGAGGAGGGGAAAATGAGGAGGGAGAAAGAGGAAAAATCGTGTCGCAGAACTGAACCCCCAGAAATTCCGGGAACTTTTATATATGGGCTCCCACAGACGGAGCCCCTACATTTTCTCCAAATTATTAGGTTGGTGCAAAAATAATGGCCATTTTTGCGAATTCTCACTTTGACGTGCTAATACTTCTTGAAAGATTCACATTTCCGAATGCGGTAGCGATCATCAGAAGCAGCAAACCCTCTGCAATACAGCGCACATTTACTTATACTCATATCACGAACGGGCAGAAAAATATGGATTGAAAAACAAAAAAGGTTCTCCTGTAAGAACCTTGTCTCTGACAATTCATAACTTCCTTCAAAGCTTGCTAGTTTGAATGATAAGTGGCCTTCTTGTAGCCGCAAGCCAGGAGTACAAAATGCAATAAGAAGAATTCGGACAGAAAAGTTTGCGAGTAAGAAAAAACTAAAATTAAAATTTCTCAGTTTTTTCAATATTTTTTCAGTGTGCCTCAAATCCCGAATATAGACCTTTCCGATTTTCTGAGCAGTGAACAGCTGGATGTTTTTGCAAAAACTGCTGATAGGATGCGCTAGCATTACGCTTACATAATTGAGCAAAGCTTTGTCGAATGACTTTTTCAAAAATAATTTATGGATCATAAAATCACCGCAACGTCTACCGATGTTGAGAAGCCGATATCTCAGCTTGGATAACTTCAAAAAAACACAGTCAAGTAGGCATGATGTAGACAATTACTAGGGCATACAATACCTAAATTTTTGAAATAGCGCCATCCATAGGCATTCGGATTCCGGCCAGAAAAGTGAATGCAACAAAATTCCAAATTTGGATGCTGTTATTTGCAGCTCAGTAACTTTATAACAGATGAGAGTGAAAGCCCGCTTCAACAGGCATTAGACAGAGCATAAAAGCAGCTTCTCAATGGTATGCTATATCTGTCCCAAGGAGAAATTATGATGGAAAAAAATTGGCCTGAAAATGGCTTGCAAAATCGGCCATTACTTTTGCACCAACCTAATACATATGTTTTCCCCCTCGAATACAAACTGAAACATGGTTATCCCAGCTCGTCATATTTACCCTCCCCGGAGATAAAATTCAAAAATGCATCATCGCTTCTGTATAGCGCATTCTACGCAGGAGCTATAGACACGAGCTACCCTTGAAAAAAAGAACTACCAAAAATACATGTAGATGACCATATTGCATTAGCCTAGCCCCTGCAACTTGCAGAGATATAAGAGCGCAAACTCGCCCTTGTTGACAGATTTCCCAAGTTCGACTGTCAATTAGGCACTTTTACTGAAATCTTGTTCTCCTACAACTTTCTCTCTAATCATATTTCCGGAGATTTGTCGAACAAAGCAAATCCCAGTCCCATATCTGTAATATTCGCATAGTTATTAGCCCTCCAACATGCATGCTTAGGCGATAAATTCGGCTCTTCCCAAGTTGCCCCGTTCCTTCAAAAAACACGTTAGACACCTCTCTCGTACTCATACACAACATATTAGGGTGAACGGTAAAAAATGGGACAGCCTGATTTTCATTACATTTTGGAATTTTTTGTTTCGGGCAACAGCAAGTAAGCGGCAACTTAAACGTCGTTTACATGGGCGACCTTCGCTTATTATTCTGACAACGCGTTAACGCTCCTCTTCCACTACCCTACACGTGGCGCCGTGAAGAACTCGAACAGGGTTTTTTGAACAATCCTCAATCTTGCGCTGTTATACCGTAAAGTCGTGAAGCAAATGACATACCATTCGAAAGAGCTTTTCATGCTCTTTCGAACGGTATGTTAAATGCTGAGATTTGTTTTCAATTTCAGAAAAAAAAATCGAAAAAACCTGAAAAGTAGCCATTTTTAGTGCAACAAAAAACCAAAAAATCATGTTTTGCCCTATATTTTCCGAAGATAGATAAAATCTGAGGTATGCTGCATATGTATGGATAGAGCGTAAAAAGCTCTATCAGATGATATCTAGAAATCATGTGTTTACCTGCAAAGAATTGAATAACGCGTATCTTTGTTCCCGAAGCTGTTAATGGGCATATCTCCTGACATTAAGAGTTAAAGCCACCAAGCCGTCGTGAGTTTGGTGACTGTCCCACCACCCTCTCCAGTAGTGGTACTTTGGGTGGTCTCACATGTTTCACTGCGCCGATACTGCTCAAACTTCAAAATTTCTCGAAGTAACTAACTTTGCATTTTGGCAAGTATAAAAATTATCAATCATATAAATGACCTTATATGGGTGCTATCTGAAAGAGAATAATTTATTCTAATATCCATCAAAATTGGAAAGTTCAGTCACTTTTCTTCCTTGAGAAATCTGCAATTATTCTCAAGGTGTCCCATTTTTTACCGTTCACCCTAATATATTAGGGTCCGAAAGTTTGTTCGTTTCATTTTCAACAATTTGTAATTTCGCGATATCAAAACAGATTTGCTTGCTTGTAACTTTCTTAAAAAGAACAAGTCTTTTGCATTCAAATACTGTTTTGGAGGGCTTCTGTTTCGTATTGAATGTAAAGATAAAAATGGCAAAGTAAGACTATATTAGCGACCGTTTTAAGTTAGGTCACCAAAAATCTGAAACGCTGCAAAACTCTGAAACCGTCGGTACATATGTTTTTTGGCCTACTCTTTGCAATTGTGAAGAGTTTATGCTGTTTGAACGTCTTTGTGGGAAGTTATGAATATCGAGTTTACTACGGAAAACGCCAAAATTAATTAATCTGTCAATTTTCGCGAAAATCGTAACTTCTCAGAGAGACGTTCAAACAGCATAAACTCTTCACCGTTGTAAAGAGTAAGTCAAAAAAATATGTACCGACGGTTTCAGAGTTTTGCAGCATTTCAGATTTTTGGTGACCTAACTCAAAACGGTCGCTTATATAGTCTTACTTTACCATTTTTATCTTTACATTCATGTGAACAGAAGCCCGCCAAAACAGTATTTGTAAGCGAAAGACTTATTCTTTCTAAAGAAGTTACAAGCAAGCAAATCTGTTGGAATATCGCGAAGTTACAAATTTTTAAAAATGAAACGGCAGAAGTTTCGGACCCACCTTATATCTCCCAGCCTCTTGTTGTTAGAAGCATACACACTGACATAGCGAACTTTGACTTTATTGCCCATGGAGGCGGCCCTGGGGGTTAAAAAATCCACGGAGTAACGGGGAAAAGAGCCACGTCGGTATTTTAGAAATGATATTCCTGTACGTTTCTAGAGCATTTTGAGCTACCTAATAGGCTCTCTTCTGAATTTGGAGCATAAAAATAGCAAGGGATGCTTATTTTCCCTTAAAACCTTTGAAAATACAAAAATTAGCAAAAGTCCCTTTACAAAATTTGAAAACATTAAATACTCCCATATACAGCCCAAACCCAATCCACCAGCTCTAAGTCCTGAGATTCGCTTCATTATTATACGGGTGTAATTGAATCACCGATGACGCCTCTGTTGTACTGAGTGTTACCTTTGCTCGGCGTACGCCCAAAACTGCATAGAAAGAGTTTGAGTGCCTCTTGAAGGTTTGGCCCCCGCTAGCTGAAAGAGATTATTTGACGAACGCTCGCAGAAAATTCTGTATTGCTGCCCGCTGGCAGAACATATTCAACGAACGCTCGCAGAAAATTCTGTATTGCTGCCCGCTGGCAGAACATATGACAGCAGGAAGTACCGCTTGCTGAAGGTTTGGCCACGCCCAACATTCTGCCGACCGCTTGCAAGAAAGCGCGAGTTCGCCCCTGTCCCCGACGATTATCTGAGTTATTGTACACTCTATGGCACTTCCTCCAAAGATGTTCCAAACGCAAAAAAGTATGCTATTTGTGATCAGCATGCTTAAGAACCCCTTTAGGCAAAGTTTTGAGCAAATTCGGAATTGCCCATCTACCACTACTACCGAAGGCAAAAAAATGGTGCTACCGTACGAAATGAATACTTATTGGTGTTCAGACTACTAAATAACCCCATAAACAAATTTCCAAGCAGTCCGCGACTTCGACTCCTACCGTAAACCTACCCTAGTCCATCGTATGGCTTCGCAGTGCGAAACCGTGATATAGCGTGATCATGCAAAGTAACCTTCCTAGACAAAGTTTTAGCGAAAACGTCTTTATTTTGTGTCAACTTATGGTAGTACCGAAATTTCATTACTTCATAGTTACCACAGCAAGAGTGTAGCATATCGAAATAAATCGTGCCTGCTCCGTTATGAACACAACGGTAGCGGACCAATGTAGGAGGTTGCGAAATTTCTGAAAGCCTGGTCCGCTGCTGCTGACGATAATTTGAGCTGGGAGGAATTATCTGAATATGCTATGACTCTACAAAAATTGTAATTTTTGAGTGTTTCAAAAGTTTTCTTTGCCACCTTGCCACCTAGTATAAGCCTAGATCGCAAGCCTTAGAGTCTTAAAAACCATCTCAAAAATCTTAGAAAGTGTGGACACCACGCCCGATTTCTAAATAAAATTTTGTCGCTCTTCCTCCCTGGACAAAGCTGTCCGGATTGCCACTGCAAGAGAGTATGACAAAATCTACCATTTGAGTCATTTTCTCTATCTGTTTTGCTTTATAAGAGAGTACATATGCGAGGAAAATTTACAGACAAATATACCTCTTTATGAAACGCCCTACCTTTCAAACCCATCTTCTTTATTCACATACTAAACGTTGCAAAGGAGTGCATCTAATACATACATCTTGTTAACCACCAAAACATCGCAATAATGTAAAGGTGCCTCACTGCTTTGCAATCTTCTCATTTCATCATGTTGATTTCGCTTTCCATGCGCTCCACTCGATGTGCAATCTCATCCAACACGTCCATCACACTCTAGTATAGTAAAATGGTAAGATAACATTTTGTGCTGTGCTTTTTCATCCTTACCATTAGCGAATAATGGTCCTTCTTCTCATTCGTAGTATTTATATTCAACTCTTTTTCCATGCGCTGTACTCGAACTGCGATTTCGTCTACCAAACGCTAAATTAAAGGTGAAGTTTTGTTACACCGCATTTATTCAAGTCTCTCTGACGCACCTTCATTTCCCCTTCCATACGCCCTAGTCGATCCGTGATATCCTCCACCGCACTCTGAAATGAAGAATTTTGTCGCTTTGTGAAAACTTTCTTCTCACTATACTTTGTCTCCTTTCTCTAGTAAAACAATCGTTAATTCGTTTTCAATAATCTCCAATCGCTTTGCCACCATGTCAAGCGCGCCCTGAAACAATGAGTCATTATATATTGTTGTTGTACTTGCCTATGCCTCTACCATCACTGGGGATTTTTCTGCCTTCATGAGAAGCGCATCCCTCGTTTCACTTTCCAGGTGCTCTACTCGATTGGTAATCACTTCCATCACATCCTAAATTGTGCTTGACTCGCTTTTGCTTTTTTCTGACAGATTTACCTTCATTTCTCCTCCCATACGATCTATTCGATTAGCAATATCTTCCACGGCAAGCTAGAGTGGGAAAATTGCATTATTTTCTAAATGCCTTTCTACAAGCTAAGTTTCAGCTGGAGTGGCTTTCCCATACGGATTGTATATCGTATATTCGGGAGCACGGACTCTGATTCTAAATGCGTGACCCGGCAAATCTCAAGAATAAACTTTTGTTTGCGTAGAGCTATCCGATGCGTTGAACAAAACGGAGAGAGTGAAAATGGCGAAAAAAAACCATCTCCCGGGCCCTTCATTTTAGGACGAGTGAAACACTTTCGACCAAGGTTGAAAACGCATTGCTTGGTGGGACTCTTACTATTACAACATTACGGCATAGGCCTCCAGGCTGTGGAAGGGAGATCGTGAACCCGTTCAAGCGCGCTTGAACGGGTGCAATAACATGTGCGACTGGGTTTGAGAGTAACCCTCTCGGCAGGAAGTACACCCCCGTGCGTCCTGGATTGCTAGGTTTTCATAGGGGGGGGGGGGGGAGGGGGTAGGGGAGAGACCCAGGCAACAGGGCCGGGCACAGATAATCTGAAGTCGAACTGGACTTCGTTTTTGATGTTGAAAGCAACGGGGGTATCACAAGGACCTGGGCAGTGCGCCGAAAAAAAAACGACAAACATATCAGGTTTTACAAGTTGAGGGTTCTTTCGTAAGCGCGCGACTTTCAAACACAAGACTCAAACAAATAGATGGTGTTTACGGCGCACAAACAATCACATGACACCGAATTTGGGTTATGTGAATACAATATTACTCCTATATTATGTAAAAGTTTCAAAAATTTGTGTTCTTATACCTGTTCCCAAATTTGTTGGTTTCTACACCAACATCAAACCAACTGGGTTGGTTCGGCGCATAAATATCCGAGAGTTCACATAAGTTTTGGACCTTTTTGATTTGGACGATTAAAACGCTCAAAAATCCAAAAATCTATCATATAGCGAAGAGAGCGAAACAGACCATTGCCTCTCCTCTGAGCCAAAAATAGTGTAAACCTACGCACTGATGGATATCGCGCTCCACTCACATGCGGTGTCCTTTGAACTATGTGATGAGGAAGCCTCGCCGGATTCTTAAGGCCACAAATTTGGTTGGCCTAAGAGGTTTCAACATTCTGAGCACTACAATGGTACCGTACTCAATGACAGACCCTTCAATCAACTCAGAATGTTTTTCTTTTGCTTTTATTTCACTCGGATACCTCAAAATGCGCTTTTTCCGCCTTTTTTTCTATTAAATAAGGGTTTCTCCACTGACTTTTACATCAAAAGGAACTTCGTAAATTTTCGCGAAGTCATGGGGACTTCGTTTTCAAAAATGCTCCAAGCCAACGCGTGCCGGGCCCTCCTTCAAATCCTGTTAAGTATTCTGCTGTACTCTTTCATATAACGAGGGGGTTGAGAGTATAAAATAAAAGGTTGCAAGAGAACGATAGTAATTATCAGCCGATGCTGAAACTCGACATGCACTACTTCGCCCATTTGCCTTACGCAGCACATGTTTAAATTTCAAGCTTGAATCATATTTGTAAAGTATCAATCCCTGCCAGGGCCCGGCAGGAGGTGGCATTTCAGAATTTTGAAAACGATACCCCCTTTGAAGCCAAAATTTCTTACGACTTCCCCGTTGACCCTATTTTTGACTCCCGTAAGTCCCTGACAAACAGATATACACAAATAATAAGATGGGCGGCCTTAGCGCTTATTATAGTAGTACTACTTGGCTTTCCTGGTCCAGCCCGGGTCATCGTTTGAGGGGATGGCCAAAAACCACACTTTGTCCCTCTACCTTCCCGTCCTTTTGGGCCATATTCTCCACCCCTTTTCTGCAGTATCGATACTGCACTGCAGCCCTCCCCCTTATCCTCCTGCACGAGCTTTCCTCAGAAAGGCTTGCTTAAAACCATCTACCGAGGCCGAAAACATATGTTTTCAAGGGTTCAGCTCAATGGGTTCATCCGCAAAAGAATCTATAAAAGAACATAGGGTCAAGATTTGCACAAACTTTGACGTTTATACAGGGTGTCCCAAAAAGATGTGCACACTGTTTGATTGTTAATAACTCTCTTGCTTTCATGTCTATTGCCGAGCTTGAGGTACCATTCTGTAGAGCGAGGATAAACTTAGATTTACAGTATGGAGCGAACCACCAATCGCTCTTCGTTACTGTAGGATCACGGTATGAACTTTCAGCATATAGCGTCACTGTGAAATAAGCCATTTGTTGAAATAATTCCGAAAAAATCTAAAAATTTGTGTAGCAAGGTTTTCAGGCGTGATGATTTCACTACATAACTTTCCACCAGTTTTTCGAGCTTTCTTGATGGCGTATTCACGTTTCCGACAATCATTGGAAAATCAGTTGTTACCCTAAATCTGAAATAACTCATGAAAGAAACAGTGTGTTGACGTGCAATCTTCATATTTAGAATCAGCAACTCCAATTAACCTAGTTCAAGAGTTTCTGGCTTGTTTGGCTTTCTTTCTGAAGCAGAATACCGCTTTCAATGGCTTAAAATCCTCCTCGAAATTCCTACCGTAATCCTACAGTAATGAAGAGCTGCTGATAAGTCGCTCCATACTGTAAATCTAAGTTGAACCTCGCTCTAAAGAATGGTACCTCATGCTCGGAAAAAGACCTGAAAGCAAGAGAGTTATTAACAATCAAACAGTGTGCACATCTTTTTGGGACACCCTGTATATCTAAGATACTACTCATTTATTAGTCAGCTGCGAAACTTTACAATTTACTATAACCGATTGCGATTGGAGCGCGCCCGAGGCCGATCATAACGCTGTGAACCCTATTGGGGGCTGTATCGAAGCGGTGCCTTGGTGATTTTGGAAGCGGATTTGAACATATAATAATGCTCTCGACCTAGTCCACATTTATGTAAAGAAATCCGGGAAATTATGTGAAGGGAAGCAGGGAGCCACCTAGGTGGCTCCCGGGTGGCGCGGGAGCCACCTAATTTTGAAAAACACTTACCATTTTTTAAACTCACATAAGTTTCTCATAATTCTTCATACTTTTTTTTTGTGCTCATGGTCCTCCAACTACACAGCAAACTTGGTGCCATATCGTTACTTGTGCATTGAAAACGAGCCTATTTTGTTATTTTCCTCTTACAAGAATTGCGATTTGAATTCCCGCCTGCGGGCAGGCTAGCGGTCGGAGCACAAAATCTTCACATTGCTGGAATCTAAGTTCATAGGACAGTAGCATCAACAAGGAATGATGAATAAAGAATGATATGCGCATTGTTTATCGGTAAACCCGGACCCCAAAATACGACTTCACCTTTGCTTTATCGAGCCAAAAACGATATCCAGCTTGTGAAAGCGCCACCCGCGCCGGGCCCTGATCCCTGCAGTTTGAGATGACTTTTATAGTAAGATAGCAAACATGTTGTAGAGTTGAAATGATCGGGAGTTCAATAGTTGGTGCAGCTTGGTAATGCAATTGCAAGAAAAATTCGTGAATAGTCAGAGTTTCATTTTCAAATCTAACATATCCCTACTTCTCATTTTCGTGAAATAAAAATCTGTTCAACTCTGCGGCCCATATGTAAATGTAAAAAAAAGGAATGCTTCGAGTTTTTTGGCGGATGGACAAATTTGGAAGTGAGAGCTGCGTTTATTACTGACGATTTTGTAAGTCTTGCAAAACTGTATTTATTTCCAACAAGCCCATTTGAGCGGCTCGAAATCAACTGTTCCACTAGTGGTTTTTGACAAAACCCTCAACTAGGGCTTCAAGGTGTAAACAAATATCAAAAGGAGCTTGCGATAAACGCGTAGTACAAAGGTTTTTTTTTTCAATGGAAATGCCACTTCGACTAAAACATTTCTTTCGCTAGGCGATACTTTGTCTCCCTTTTCCAGTGAGATAACCCTCAATTCGCTTTCAATGCGTTGTACTCGACTTGCAGTATCGTCCATCAAACTCTGAATTTGAAAAAAAACTGTTGCCATTCCGCTTTTGCTTATTTCTTTCTGTTACCTTCATTTCTTCCATCCGTCCTAATCGATTCCTAACATCTTCTATGGCACACTGAAAAAAAATCATTGCTTGTGGTTCTTTTTATTAAAAAAAACTATTTTTAGTTGGAGTGGCTTACCCGGATAAACTGGGTTGTTTCAAAAGTTCCGCATGTTTTTTCAAAGCAAAAACAATTTTCATACACAATGCTCATTCTTTGGAAGCTCTTGTTTTAATTTTTCATGTAATCAATCGTTTTACAGGTTTGTTCATTCTGTAATTTCTCTTCTTTTCTCTTGGGACATATATGTAATGTTTGCAGTAAACTTTTACAAAATGCTCATCAAGGTACACATTCAGAGAAATTTGGACTCACAAGCCTTTGGTATCAGCATGGCCTAACGTTGTTCACCTCTAAGCAACGCAGTTACGAAAGTTTCTCTCTATATTGCTAGTGTAAGCTTGGACATTCAACACGAAGAAGTAAAAAAAATTCTTATCACCAGCAGCGAAAAATCAAAGTTGAGAAAAAGCATTTTCGGCTACCTCAGATGGAGCGACAGCAGTGATCCTTTCGAGAAAAGTTTTTGTATAAAAGTTCAGTGGATCCAAGATTATCAATACAACTCAGAAGGAATGTGCTTTTAATCGGAGTAGTCTTTCAAATCAGTTCTAGAACAATTCATAGGACACTGAACGCTGAATCAAACTCTTTCTTTGCTCTGCTGTGCGCCTCTGGGGCCGAGTTATGAGCCTTTTTTGAAGGAAAAGGAAGGCAAGATTAAGTCAAAAGTACCTTTGTAAATAAAACCTTGCAGCGTTGAGTATATTGAGTGCATAAAATGTTCCGATTTTCCAATACTGGACCATTTGAGCATTTCCGTGCAAACTGTGACAGTCGAGGTGTGATTTTTTGGCCCTAAAGCGCTCATCACTCGGAGGCCACAGGCCTGCAGCAGATACCGAAAAAAGGAATCTGCTGCAGGCCTTGAAAATCCAAATCTCACTTCTAAGGCCCGTATGCACGTAAATCCGGGAGGGAAGGGAATGTGAGAGGATACACATCGTACCTCGTTACCATAAGTGTCTTTCTTCTTCTTTCTTTTTCTGGGTTATGAAGGCTCTTATACCCTGATAACTGCGCATAATAATTGCCAGGGTATTGTCATACAAGATTTAATTTTCATTATTTTGTAATCCCCTGAAGATCCCCACAGGATCGTCTCTCATTTTCAAAGTTATTTATCCTCCTATAAACTCAATGAAAACGTTGTAAATTTTGCTGAGGATATATAATAATATGGCACTGCTAAACATGTTTATAACAGCAGTAAGTGAAAGCTCAGGATATCGAAATTTTCGATGAACGAGCTAGGGATTATCAAAAAATCTTCGGATTCCATTTCTCGCGTCGAAAACATGCTCAGTAGGAAAAGATACTGGGTGACCGTGGCCATCCATAATGACTTGTATGTCAAAAAAATGCGCCTTCAGAGGCAGCGTCCAAGCCAACCTGGACCTATGGGATTTTACGTGGAAAGTAATTTTGGGGTCCCAACTAAGGCACTGCCCAAGCGGCAGCGCGGATGAGTCACAAACGGCTGAGACATACGCCTCCAAACTGGATTCCAGGATCGTATTTCGCATGGTTCATGTCGCAACCATCAGTTTGGCGCCAGGATCCATGAGAATCCAATGGGTTGTGCTATGAATCCATGCAAAATACGATCCTGGGGTCCCGTTTCGAAAGGAATATCTCAGCCCTTAGAGCTGCCGGCTGGGCAGTGGCTCAGTTAGGGCTCCCAAAATAGTATCCATGTAGATCCCCCACGCCTGGACGCTGCCTTTAATGCTGATTCGAATACTGTCTCCCATATCTGCGAAAGATAACCCGGATGGAGCTATGAATTTTATTAGGTTGTAAGAGAATTAATGCAGGTTTTCTGAATTTTGTGTTTGGATCATTATAACTTTTTAATTTTTATAGTCTTTTAATAGTCAATAATAATCAAATAGTCTTTTCGTGTGCGACAAGAAGTGTTGTAATAAGCAAACCTTCTCAACTCAGTATGCATTATTGGGTTTGTAGCTTCAATGAGAAAAATCTTATAACCCGAATTTTGCCAAAAAATTTTTCGGGAAACCTTCACTTTGAGAAACCATAACTTACTATCAATTATAGTAAGGTCGCAAATATAACTCACTGTGTAGCCTATGGTCGGTAGTGCAACAGTGCTGAATTCGGAACTGAAAAAGAATTCTTTGCGAGAGGATATTTGAAAAAATTTTGAAAGTACTCATTTTTTTCCACTTATCTGAAAATTAAAAAAATCGCTTTTCCGAAACTTTTGAATTTTTTCGGAGCTGGATATCTGGAACGGCTCCCAATTTCTTCAGCCATAGATGTCTAAAATCTATTCTTCCCATATAAAGCGGAAGCTCCGCAGTCGCTTCGCGCTGAGAATTTTGATGTAGGGCAGACCGACCACAGCGACCGTTGAATTTTGCTTTGAAATTTCTCGGCTCAGATGTTTTCCGAATTTATGATTCAACATGCATTGTGTGACATAGCTCATTCAAAATTACTACATAAATTTGCAGCGAATTTAGATTGTTTTTGGTGGTTTTAGAGCCAGGTATATTAAAAGAAAGAATTTCGAGATTTGGTTTCTCAAATTCATGAGCTCAGAACTACTAAACAAATTCACTTCCACTGAAATGAAATAATGCATAAGAAATTAAAAGAAAAGAGCTTCCGAATGATATGCAAAACTCTCCGAGAAAACACTTGCCCTTTCTAAACTGGCATTTTGAAGAAGGTACGCGAAAACCTGCATTAATTCTGTTACAACCTAATATTTTACGAATGAATTTCGCTATGCACCACTGCGGAGATCAAAGTCATCAGTAAAAAATTATCATACCTTTTCAAATGCTAAATATGATTTAGATAGGTATTAATACAACAGTAATTCTCTCAAAATTCTCTTCAATGGCTTGAATTTTACACAAAACAAGTTTGGTGATTTTGACTATTCAAAAGTACGCAAATGTTCTACGAAAAAAAATCATAACTTTCTTCAAAGATCGTTTCGCACATATCGAGCACAGATGTAGAATGAAATGAGCGTTTTGAAGTGCATTTAACCGTATACATCCCATTCCAAGTGGCCATGGTCACCGAGTATCTTTTCCGCGGTGCCGCAGTATATCCTGAGTACATTTTTAGATTCACTGAATTTTTTAAAAAAATGAATGATTTGAAAATGGAAGGTGATCCCCAGGGAAGCATATAGAATAGTGAAAATCTGATCTTGTATGGCAGTAACTCGGCATCCATTATGCGCAGGCGTCAGAGTATGGGAACCTTCATAAACCAGATAGAAAAGAAGAAGAGATACATCTAGAGTAACGAGACGTGAATCTCGTTACTCTAGATGTATCTCTTCTTCTGTATCTCCCCTCTATCTGTATCTCCCCTCTCAGATCCCCTTCCTCCGCTCGGGAATGTACCCTTAGGGTCCTAAAACCCTTATCTTGTCGATGATTATCGAACTTCCAAAGAGGGGTGCAGTGCATCTGCTGCGTTCCAAATCAAGTTATAATTTCTCAAAGTAGGGGTTTTCAAAAAATGTTGTGCGATCGTGGCTCAAAACTCTCATTGTTGCTGCAGTGTTGTCCTAGCACGCCTGGAAATGCGAAAAATTTGCAGGTTATAACGCATTTTGTTTTACTCGCAATGATCATTCTTAAAAGGAGCTATGATGAATCAAAATTGAACATTGAAACGAGAAGAACTTTCAAAACAACCCGATATATCATTTTCGGGAGCACTGAACGCTGATCGGCAGCTGTATTTTGCTGCGCCGCTCCAGTTATAAGCGTGAAATAGAAATTGAAGGCCTGGATCTGCCTGGACGCTGCATTCAAAGTTAAACTTTCACATCCATCAAATCTGCTGAAGCAAGATCTGAGGAATAAATTAAAGGCTGTTCCTCCTTGTCAAATGTTACCAAATTTAGTCATGTTTGGTCATGCAAAAGAACTCTTTGGACAACTATACAACCTTTTCTCAAATCCTCGTTACGTGCTGAGCTCCGCCTTCCCATTCGGCACCAAAAGCGTTTTTTTAGCAGCAAAAATGAGCAGGTGCCAAAAGTGCTTATTTATCCCTTTGAAGTACTGTCTGGCTGAGAATTCGTATTCAAACAAAACACGATTTATGCAAAGCTTTCTATTGAAGTTAGTAGATGTAATTCAATAAGCATTAGTGGCCTTCCTAATGGTTTACGTAGACTGTGTCGAGTCAAACGCGAGGACAAAAATGTACTACGCTATGTACTCTTGTAATAATGGTGAAACATCGCTGATTATAAGTTTACTGAACAAAGTGTACCGTTGAATGGATACTTCAGAAATGGCCCATGTAAGTGGTTCTGAGTGGTTTCGTCCGTTCAATCTTAACCCACAAAAAGCTTATAGACAAATTTGAATCAGCGTTCAATACTCTCCAAAAATTACAGTTTTTGTGAAATGCCACTTCGACCAGAAACAGTTCTCTCGTTGATAGCAATACTTTGTCTCCTTTCTCCAGTGAGACAATCCTTAATTCCCTCTCGTTGTGCTCTACTCGTTTCGCAACCTCGTCTAACACGCTCTGTAAGGATGAGTTAGTAGATGTTGCTATCGTTGCGCTGCTACCGTCAGTCGTGCTATTTCTTCCTTCATCAAGAGCGTATTTCTTATTTCACTTTCTATGTGTTCTACTCGGTTTGTAATCGTCTCCGTCACACCCTGAAAGCTAGCAATGTGAATAATTGGCTTTGTGCCTTTGGGAAATTTACCATTATTTCCTTTTCCATACGCTCTACGTGAGAAGCAGCCTTGTCCACCGCGCTCTGAAGTAGAAAAAAGCATAATTTCGCGCTGCTGATGGATTTTTACAGCAATACTTTGTCTCCCTTTTCCAGTAGAACAACCATCATTTCCCTTTCCACGCGCTCTACTCGACTTGCGATCTCATCCACTACGGCCTGAAATAATGAAAGATTGATGTGTTGGAGTTATGCTGTTTTCTCTTGCCTTTAGTGAGACTCTGTTTCCTTTCTTAAATTGAGCATCACTCATTTCACTTTCTATGCGCTCCCGTCGATTTGCAGTCTCCTCTACCGCACACTAAAGTGAAAACGCGTAGTCCTGCTGTTTTTTTATATTTTTCTTCTCGTTAGCTAGACTTTGTCTCCCTTCTTTAGTAAAACAGCTGTTATTTTCTTTTCCATATGCTCTACTCGATTAAGGATCTCGTCCAGCACAATCTGAAAATAATTTAGTAAGATTCGCCAATATACAATTTGATTATGCCAAAACAAGACATTTTGCTTCTTTTCTATGGATGGGGTTTTCCTTGTCGCGCCGTCCATGTGGTCTAATTCATTTGTAGACTCATCCGTTACGTCCTAAAACGCAAAAATAACACTTTTGTTGCTTCGCTGATCGCAGTTGCTTTAACAAAACATTTTACGAGATTATTTGCATGCCTTCAGTCGATATGCAGTCATTTCTCCTGCCGTTAGTGGGATTCTGTCTCTCGTTTCTAGTGTAGCGTCCTTCATTTCATTTTCTATGCGCTCTACTCGTGTTGCAATCCCATCCAGTACGCTCTGAATCGAAGAGGTAAGAACCAGTTCCTGACAATTTTACACTCACCATAAGCAAGCCTTTGAATCTTTTCTCTTGTGGAATATTTTCATCAATTTTTGTTTCTATTTGCTGTACTCGAGTTGCCATTTCGTCCACCACACTCTGAAATTAAAAAGTGAGACTTGTTATAGTTTTGTCAATGTGATGACTTTGTCTCTCTTTTCCGGTGAAGAACTTCTCAGTTGTCCTTCCATGCGATCTAGTCGATTTGCAATTTTGTCCACCTTGGTCTAGATTTAAAAAAGTAAGGTTTTTAGCTGCACTTGACATTCGCCCTTGCCATTAGCGAGAATTTATCTCTCTTCTCTTGTGAAGCCTTTCTACTCATTTCCATTTCTATGTCCTGTATTCGGCTCTCAATCTTGTCGAAGACACTCTAAACATAAAACACTAAGATTGTACTGCCCCGACTTCCTTTCTCATAAGTGGATTGAAAACTTCGTCTTTCTTCTCCGCTAAAATGTCCCTCAATTCGCATTCCAGGCGCTCCACTCGTTTCGCAATCTCCTCCACTGCATTCTAAACTGGTAATATAAGATCATGCCTATTTGCTACAATCTGCCCCAATCCCAACCAGGTCAAAATTGGCATGGCAGGAGTCTGTGTCGCAAGGGTGTTGTGTCACGTCTGTTTGCTAGTCTGCTCTCTCCTCCGCAAACCCCTAGCGCTGCGAGCGCGCAAATTCAGCCGACGATTCGGCCTGATTCTGATTGGGGCAGACTGTAAGTATTCTTACCATCATTTGAGCTTCGCCTCTCTTTTTTTGTAAAGCATCTTCTTTCATTTCTCTACTAAATGCGGTTTTGCCCGACCCACCCTGAACGTCAAAATATATGATTCCGCAAGTCACATCCATAATGCCTTCAGCGGCCTCTTTACAGTGTCATTTTTCCTTGATGGAGCGTCCATTAGTTCCCTCTCAATGCGATCAACTCTTTTCACAATTTCGTCCATTAAATTCATCTAACTCTGCAATCTTACATGTTAAGCTGATGTCTGTATGTTGCCTAATGTCTGAGCGTATGTAAATAAACATTGCACCAAATTTTGCCACACACTTCGGGATAGGCTGAATATCATTTTTACTACAATCAATGTCGATTATTGATCTTTTGCAAAATTTGAGCTAGGGGCTGGGAGTTGACTAGGGAGTGAGTGGACATGCTGATTACAGATACAGGCTGTGGGTAGGTATGCGGGGGGAGGTGGGGGGGGGAGGGTAGGTAAGCATGCTAATAAGGCTGCGTTCATACTGATCTGAAGTTCGGGGACAGTTCCAGCACAGCGCTAGAACTGAGCGCTGTGCTGGAACTGTCCCCGAACTTCGGGATTAGTATGAAGCAGCCTAATGAAAGTGACTCCAAAAAATCCTTGCTTTCGACATATTTATTGATTCTGCCAAATCCGATGTGGTACGGGGAGGATAGAGTGTGATCGGGCATGCTGCTCACGAAATCATAGTAGGGACAAGGATTTGGCATATAGGAGTGAGACAAAGGCAACGAACCTCAAAATTGGGGAAGTTATGTCTATTTATTCATCCATGTATTGTAAAGTAAGAAAAGAAGGTCTTTATTCTCAGTGTATTGTCAAGTAAGTGGAGATTGAGCCAGGGAAAATGGATCGGATTTGCGATGATTCGAAACATGGCAGCGAAAACGGTGAGGTCCTGCTGTTTCAAGGAAAGCCGTAGAAGCAGCAGTAGTGCATGGGCAACTGGAGAAAGGGATTAAAGGAAGGCAGAAGCATCTTTGTTTCACTGTATCGCTGCATTGCAATTTACACACCATTTCCCGTTTTGAAAATGATTCATGTCCGGTTGGAGCGGGATAGCTTACTATATATGAAGCGGAATGTTCTATGTACATTCCAAAACAGAAAATTCCAAGTCCCAGACAGTCCGAGTCACAAGTTCTTCGCGCATGAATTTTTGGGGGGTGGCTATTGCAAGCGACTTTTTCTTATTGTTCGCATTGATCATTGACTTTCGGCAAAGGTTAAGCTGAAGCTGAGACAAGAAAATAAGTAAATAAGTGCTAACTAAAATAAAGTTTTCAAATTTCTAGCAACAGTTACGTCTAGCTTTTTTGTTTTTTGCAAAATCTTAGTCTAAAGCGGTAATCTTGCATAGAGAGTTAAGTGAGCTTGCAAATCACGAAGACACGATGGGGGAAGAGAACTGACATATAGGGCCGCATGCACTAACAATCCCGCGGGGAGGGGATCGCAGCTTCAAAGAAAGCTTCATATCCTGAAGCCCCAGATATCTGGATTTCACGTTGTGTACGTAACCGAAAGTATTCCTACTACAATTCCTCCTACTACACCTCCTCCACCTCCTTTCTACTTCACTATGAACATATTGAACAGCAGCGAGAAGCTGTACAAGCCACAGTTTCCAGCATTTGTATGATCCCTGATGATCCCGGGCGCTTTTCTTTGAAGTCATTTTTCTTCCTCCAAAGTTAACGTAAAGTTTTTAAAGTTGTGCAGATTATCTAACCCAACACTGCTTAGTATTTTGCTGATAATAACAAGTGATGTATCAGAGTTATGAATTTTGCGATGAACCACAAGTCGAAAGTTGTGGTTTATCGAAAAATTCGATTTTCCAAAAACTCATTTGTTCTCATCAATAACATGTTTAGCACTATTGTGTTAGATAATTAGTACAACTTTGGAAAGTTTTCGTTAACTTCAAAGAAAGAAAAATGACTTTGAAGAAAAGCGCCGGGGATCGTCAGGGATTATACAAAAGCTGGAAAATGCAGCTTGCACAGCTTCTCGCTGCTGTTCAATATGTTCATAGTGAAGGATAGTAGGAATACTTGCGGACAGGTAGACAGCGTGAGATCTAGATATCTGGAGCTTCAGAATATGAAGCTTTCTTTTGATGCGCTACCCTCCCCAGCGGGGTTGTTAATGCATGCGGACCATAGAGTGGGGAAGGGATATGAACTGCAAAGCGCGGTCCGTATGCATTATCACTCTGCGTTGAGAGGGAGGTGGCGTCCCCGTTATGGGTTAAGCCAAACTGCGCACCGTGCGCGGCGTAAGCTCCATATCTTTATAGGCAGTGTCTGAGTAAAAAGTCGATCTTGAGATGTTATGCTTATCCAGGCCTATGTATAATGTTGAATCCAAAAAAATCACGCTGGTGAGCAGGAAAACGGCGAAAAATAGCTCTAACCGGGATTAAAATCAGCAGGTTGGCGGGGTCTTCCCCACTGCGAAGTCATGTTCCCAGCTTTCGGGGCAATCTTCTCGATTTCGCTAGCTTCCCCGAGATCTTCAGCTCAAGTGTGAACACTTAACTTGAAATTGGAGCCGAGAATATGGCTCCGGAAGCTGGGAAAATTTTACACTTTACACTGGGGAAAACCCCGTCCACATGTGTTTTCCCTTTTAAGTAAGAAACCCTTTTTCTCGGTTTTACGCTTTAGTGTAGATTTTCGGAATCAGCATAGCGAGTAGGTCCTGGTAAGACAAACCCTGTAAATCGATTTTGTGCCCGTACACCGCCTTTATGTTTGCTTACGCCGCGTACATCGCGCATCCTAATCCAATCCTGTGGAAGAGCCGCGGGTAAAGGCTGCGGCGGCTTTTTATCGTTGAAGACGTCGCTTCCTCGCCGCAGAGATATGGATGCATACGGGTCTTAGTCTATAGAAGCAGGAACTTTATGTTTGGAAAGTGTCAAGCAGCAGGTGCAGCGCAATATCACATAGATTTTTCAATCCAAAGGGAAGAATGTAAGTTTGTATTTATCCTTGCTTTTCCTAATCACAGGCAATCCGTGCCTCGGCTATGTTCCTGCCAACTAGCACTTTAATGAATTCCATACTGAAAGTCAGATTTGTGTTATATCATCAACTATGTTATAAACAAGCCATACACTTACCACAACTGATCTTGACGCGCTATGCATGAACACATGAGCATATCAATGTTCTCCCGGTGCCCTCCGTGAATAGTTCTTGGAATTTCGAAAGCAACCTACATGTGCAAAATTAGGCAGATGACTTTTTTCACTTCTAATCCGTTAGAAAAATTTTCGGAAGTTTCTCTGTCGGCGCGTCCTCTTTTCCCAGATGTTGAGGCTGTGCGTTCGCAAAAGAAATGAAAAATATCTGAGATTTTTTCTTCATTCGATGTCAGCTTAACTTGAAATGGAAGTCGTCCAAAGTTTTTGTAGTCCATTTACTTTCTGGGCCTTCAGTTTTTTTTTGGAATTTTTAAAACGAGCTGGCAAACCCGGCTCCACTCGGTCCTGTCAATAATGATTCAAATCAGCATGTTTACTTACCCCCTCCCCACCCTGCACACTTTGCACACCCTGTACACCGTGAACACCCTGCACACCCTGCACATTCTGCACACCCTGCACCCGAATGTGCACGAACAAACTCACAGATTTTCTGCTTTATATATATAGAATCGAAACTTTCACAGTGACGCGCAATGAGCATATTTTTGGAGACACCCTATGTAACGCGGTACATCAGATTTGTTAACCTATATAAAGCAGTCGCATATGGAATTAATAACGAAAAAGGACTTCATGTTTGGTTTTACGAGTGTATATGAAGTTCAATTAATCGGTAAAAAATGACTTGGAGTTGTCATGTTCGAACTGGCATCGTTTTATATTTCCGACTGACACATTCCCTCCCTTATATCCAAGCTGAGACTTTGATAAAGAGATCTTACAAGGGAAGGAAGGTGGTCGAAGTGGCCTTTTGAAATGAGGTGTGTATTGCCTCGTAGAGCTTAGAACGCTGATTCCAGATCTACCTTTGCTATCTGCTGCGGGCCTTTGTGCGAGAAGTTATGAAGGTTTTTGTAGGTAAAAATGTGATTGCAAGAGTAGGCTAAAATCAGTCGTAACCTTTCCCCAATGTTCAAATGAGGCAGCAGCTAATTGGTATATTTGAATTAAGAATATTTGTTGCACCAAGTGACCCGACTACCAATTAAGCCCTATAAAAAATGTTAAGACTGATTTTAGCCTACTCTTGCAATCAGATTTTTACTCACAAAAACCTTCATAACTTCTTGTCCAGAAGCCCGCAGCAAGGGTAGATTTGGAATCAGCGTTCCAAGCTCTACAAATCAGTACAAAAGGCCACTTCGACCAACTTTCCTTTCCTTGTTAGTTAGCTTGAAAGGGACTTGAAAAGGAAATGTCAGTGTGATTACCTTCAAAAAAACTTTTGAAAACAATTTCCAAGTTTCCTCTTTCTTGAACCTCGGCATTGTTAGTATAATGTGTGTTAGTAGGTGAGTAAGCCGACCGAGGTTAGTAGATTTTATTAGTGGCGGCCTAACGTTTCGAACAAGTCGTCTTCTTCAGAGGCCTCCTCCACCGTCGGTGCGCAGATGTTAGGGCGGCCGTCTTTCGATGCCACTAGTATGATAATCTAAATAATAATCTAGAATCTACTAACCTATAATAATCTAATCTAAAATCTATAATAATCTAAAATCTACTAACCTCGGTCGGCTTACTCACCTACTAACACACTTTTGAAAACGAAAGACGTACCTTCAAAATCTTTCGAATGAAAAGCAAGAACTTTTCAAAAAAGCAGTTGCAGAAGAAATGGGCAAGCGCAAAGTGCTAAAACGGGCAAAAGTGGAAAAAATAATAGGAAAACGAACTCGAAAACTGTGATTAAAAGGAGCTCTTCAGAGCTTTCGCATAAGTGGTGCTCCTAACTGCTTGCAATCATGTGAAAGCTATTAGGTCAGGGATTAATATCGCATTACATGTTTGAGCGAACGAGCATCAGAAACGTTATTTAAATACAGTTTGTGAAGCAAAGGAAGCTCAACAAATTGAATACAAGCATTCAT